TCTTATAAAGGTCTGTCCTGCTGCATACTATGAAGGTTGCTGCTTCCTGTATTTCTTCGATAAACGTGTGCTCTGAGTTTGAGCTTTAGATGGATGAAGCATTAAAGAAAGAGGTCCTCAGTCACAAGCGGATGTTGACTTGGATAAACTCTTGATTGGGGGTGTACTGAAACAAAACAATGTGGGCTCCTTTCATGATGAATGCACACAGCAGTGCTGTCTCAGAATGGGAGTTTTCCAATCTTCAGCTAAAATGAAATCATAATGCCAAACCTAAGTGGCATAACCAAACAGAAACAATGAAGGTGCATGAAACAAAGTCAAAATGAAATAGAAAATCTGCAACAAAATGGTCAAAACCAGAGCAAAATTGTCAACACATGTTTTGAGTCAAGCAAAAAAAGTTTTGCTGAAAGATTTGCCAAAATCAATAGAGACGTAAGAAAGAATTCCACTTCAATAAACCAGGGTTTCTCAACAAAACGCAGATTTATGTTTCAAAAATTCAACCACCTCTGTGCATGAAGTTTATCAAGTTCAGTTTTGTTGCAGGCATGAAAGACAAAAACTGTATACATCTTGATTAGTGCATTTCTGGAGTGCAATTGACTCTGGATGGGGCATTTTATACTGCAGCATCTGTAGAGTCAGTTGAAGTCAATGGCAAGATTCCCACAGACTTCAGTGAATTGGATCTGGCAAGACAGAGGGACTGAGAGTTTGAATTAAATAAATATCTTACAGCTCTAGGAGAACTAGCTATTAAATAGATACTCATTGAAAATTATTTGGGTTTTGTTGCTACAATATTTTATTCTCTTCCAAATAAACATAAGTGTTCAGCAACAGTCTTTTTTTTTTTTTGTAAATATGTTTGTATAAGTCTTATATGTTAAGATTTGAAAGACCTTTCCCCTGCTGATGGCATCCAAGAAACTTAATCATGTGTCTAACCCCATAAGATACGTGATTAGGTCCCACTCAGGAGAAAAAAAAAAAAAAAAAAAAGAACTAAAGTCTGGCAAAAGTCTTGGAGGGATGAGATGAAACATGTGGATAACGTTTCAGAAACCCAGAGCCATGCGGTTTCTGCGGAGTGAAAAACACGTGTGATCAAAGTGAAGAAGTTTTTTTTATTTTTTTAACAAGATTTTTAGATTTTAAATCATGTATTATTAGTCTGGGCCACTTTTATTTTCATAAAGTCAAGATACTTTGTACAATGTAATTTTGTAACCAGAACACTGCTGAAGTTAAAATCCTGAACTTAACTGTACCGTTAAATGTTGTCCAGGTTGGCTGTTTCATTGAAACTACCGCATATTGTTTTTAAGTTGAATTTACTGCTTAGGTTACAGTTTTTCATGTACCTTAATAAGCATGATGTCTTTTTAAAAGTAAGTAAAATGTTCAAAATATGTATTGAGGTTTCTTTTAACAGCAATTTAAAATTAATATTTTGATATTTTCCACCATAGAGACTTTTAACTACAGGATAGGAGTGAAGACTCTGAACAGGGCTGAAGAAAAAGATATCCCCTGCCTTAAATATACACAGTTTGTCTTTGTAATGACTAGAACAGATGAATATTGCTCCAGAGTATGTGTAAATTCAAGCATTGGACTCATCCTCTCTGTGGCTAGGAGGCATTTTTTTTGGTGGCCATATGCAGGGATTATAGTATTATTCAGCATGAGTAAAAGTGGCAGATGGAGTTACTTCACCATCCCCATTTCATCTCAGACTAAATACGCAACATGCAGCCATTACCCTTGGAGCTGAGTCAATGGGAACTTCGCTAGCTTTCACACAGGAGGCAGAGGAAATTTTACAGGGATGTTGTAAAAAAACCCTCAAATCACTGCATGAACATCTGTGCTGCAGACCTTTGGTACTACCTGGATAGCTGGCTTGATCCTGCCTTGTTCACAGAGGCACCCTGTGTTTTCCCCTTTAGTTGACCCAGATCTCATAAATGCAGGTAATGACATCCCTTTTTTCTTCTTTTTCAGCCACAGAAGATTTTTGCTGGTGTGACTGGGTATTCAGGCGAGGAGGAAAATTTAACAGTGTAATATGAGACACATAATGAGCACAGTAAGAGATATAAGCACTGAATTGGACTTACATGGAAACAGTCAGGGTCTTGTGTAGGACAGTTTTGTTGCCTGGCATGGTGGGAAACGCTGTGTAAAAGCTTTGTATCAGGCTAAAATCAGCCAGAGCTTGTGGGTAGTGGACTTTATGTGATGGACCACTGCACTGGAATTTTGAAACAGAGATAATGGGAAGTTTTGGAAGAAACTTACAGAAAAAAGATCATTTCTAAAAAGGAGTAAATTCAAGCTTCCTGCTATACTGTAAAGCTATTTTTTTCTTTCTGTCCCTTTTTCTGTCCCAAAAAAGGGACTGGCTCCAAGGCTCCAACAGGAGAGAGTGACTCACTACCACTGCTGCTTCAGGCAGCTGCTTGAGATGTGGAGGACCGAGAGGCTAGGCAGCGAGTCGCATTACTCACCACTTGCATAAATCTTTTAGAGAAAGCAATAAAGACTTACAGCTGGTTCCTGTAAGATCCCAAGCACCTCCTGAGAAAGGGAGAGAGCTTTCAGTAACTTCTGAAATTATGTGGCAGACAGGCACACTGAAAGAGGGTACACAGTTCAGCATTACACTCCTGCATTTTCCTACACAAAACCAGATGTCTTTAGGAAAACCTGACTCATCTAGCTAACAGCATTTAATTAATTCTGATGTAATGTTGATTGCAATTAAAATTGCTAGAGAGCAGCCCACTGTCTACCATAGTGTTGGTTCTGTTTAGTCTTTCTTTTTTCTTGTAAAAGGGTTGATATTCATAGACTCCCTACTTCCTGGGTTGCAAACTGATGAAATATTTATTCTCCATGTATCAAGCACAAAAGTTTGCAGAAAAAGCAGTTACAAAAAGGCAAAAATCCAGTACTTACCAAAGACGTTTTTGAAACAGAAAGAACATTGTTTGAAAGGAGTGAAACTCACACAAACAGAAAGTTGGAATTTGCCCTATCTAAAGACTAGGTTACAGGCAAAATATTCCATCCCTACTTTGGTCTATTAGGGTGACTGATTAATTTCATCCCCATTAAAGTCAATTTTACCCATGACACCTAAAGCTGATCATAAACCATTTTGGGGAGGAACAGAGGAGACAAAACTCTGCTTTGCAGATTAGAGCACACACTCCTGAATTTTACTAGTCCTCATTCCTGTATGCAGTTCCCTTGAAGTCCATTAGGACTACTTCCACAGGCAAAGTTTTGAAATGTCTTATCCACAAGTAATAAGGAAGAAGGTAAAAAAAAAAAAAAAAATCCTGTTCTAAAATGTTGTGGAGAAGAGTGTCTGAGAACAGCCAGACTGTAACATTACACCAGATGTTGGGATTTGTTCTCAAGCAGTAACATTTGTTCATAAATGAGCCTTCAGTGCCGGAGTTGCAAAGAGCTGCAGTTGGTTCATCATCCACAAAAATGGGGACGGTACAAGCTGCACATTTCAAACAGTTCTTACACACGGTCACAAGACTGTGTCCAAAACACCTAGAAATTCATAGTTAAAGACCAAGTTCTGAACTTCTAACTCAGCAAGTGCCCTTTACACGTTAATGCCAATTGTACTGAGAAGCCTGAAGGAAAACTGTTGAGCAGTCTAGCCTCTCTGTGCTGCTGAGTAGGCTGCAAGACTCAGGAAAGCAGGATATTCAGATGGGAAGAAGCTTTCTGTTGTCTTAGATGTAATCTAACTTCCAACAGTACCAGTGTCCTCTTGCACAAAGAACAGTCCTATGACGGAGGGTATCTTAAAGGATAGAAGCAAGATGATGGGATCTGCTCTGAACAGACACAGATAGCTAGTCTGTGGTATTTGAGAGGGCTACACAAAAACTTATCTATTGTACATCATGAGATGCATGGATGGGTTTCTGGAGGTGTAGGGGAAGAGTCAGTAGTCATCACTAATGACAGAAACATAGGAAGGATGTTCTGGAGGAGGCCAGGCAGATGAGACCAGGACCTCCGCGGTGGTAGCTTATGAAGCACTGCCAGTTCCAGGAACACCTGGGAGACAGGCAGGGATCTGGAACTGATGCACAGGTGACATGTTATAGAGAGGAGAAAGTTTTGGGAACCTATGCAACGATAGGCTGCACCATAATAAAATGCCAGACTGCTGGCACTGAAGATGAAAGAGTTGACAGAGGAATATGTAAAAGGAAAGCTGACATGTGCGGAGGAGATCTACTTTAGACTGATGCAGTCTACAAACTGCACGTGGCAAATGCTTGATGTACCTCTGAAAATACTAGGCAGGAAACAAGCAACAGCAAGAAAGACAATTTAGACCACCCACAGTACCAGCTGACTGGCATGTGAAACACTGAGCAAGTGAGAGAAGAACTTACAACTGCTTTAGAAATCTAAAAAATATGAGGAGACAAAATGCTTGGAATCCAGAGATATACCCAAATTACTAGCATCTAAAAGACCTGAAAATGTCCAGGCTTGTATGCAGTCTGTAAAGAGCTTCTCTTATTGGCATGATTCAAGACAGAATATCAACTTAGATGAGTGTCATTCACCTGGCCAAATAGGACATTTCTTCTGTTCTTATGTTCATTGACATTACACAAAGATGCCAGGGTGCGCTCAGGCACCAAAATCTGTAGCATCCACATTCTCATGGTGACTGTGGGTACGGTGTGTCACTCTGTGTAAAAACACTACTCAGGCTGAAATCTTACCTTAAAACTTTGCCTATCTTTATCTGCCAATGTTACATTAAGACATTTTTTTTAGTTCAGCTTTTCTTTCTTTTATGTAAAGCCATAGTGATAAAACAATTTTTTAAAAACTCACATGCACGGCAGGAGCTGAAACAAAACACATATTAAAGAAAACATTTTTCATGGTTAGCCTGGTGAGCATACTGAAAATTATAACTAAAAAAAATATCTTACGTTCATAGCAGTAGGCATCAAACTTGCTATCAGGGTAAGGAAAGCCTGTTTGGTTCTCATAGCGATACAGGGTTCTCACCCCAAGTAAACCTCCACCACACTGGGGCCTTGCCACTGAGGCGGGGTAACGAACGCTGCCATCTGCCAGCCAGCCATAGTCACACTGGTCAAAGCCATTCCTCCAGGCAACATACAGGTTCCCAACCGATGCAAGAACGCCATCTCTTTTACGACACAGCTCTTTAGCTTCCTCAAAGGTGAGCTTCTCGGGTACTGAGACATGAACCACTTCATCTAGAGGAAGAAAACAAAGAAAACAAGGTCTGAGTATCATATTCCACCACCAAGTCAGCTTAGTTCCTCTCTTCCAGGCAATGTCCTGCAAAGTTGGGGTGTTCTTCCAGAATTTGTTTTAAAAACTTTTTGCTTAAAAAAATCAGATAGTTGGAAAATAAAATGTTCCAGATTTGAATATGAAAATAAACCCACCACACAGTATGAGCATTTATATGCAAACTTTATGCCACAAAGTACACTGTCGCTGGAGACTGAGTCCCTCCCTCGGTCTCTAGGCATAGGTAACAGCAGCCTTGAAGGTTCTCCGTGATTACTGTTGGAGTACACTTTGCAATTCAACTGCACTAATTAAATCTGTCCAACAGAACTTACTTTCTCAGTAAAACAAATCTTTCACATCTGCAAGCCTCTTACCTGGCCTTTTTAGTCATCATTACAAATCTCACTTGAGACAAACAAACAAAAAAATATTCTGCACTGGCTGCTCCACAGCAGTTTCTAATGTCGTATGTCCACCAGTCTTCATCTTGCCCCATGGGAAAACAAATGTGACAGAAGTTGCATGGACAAAGCCCTTTTTGTATGAAATAGTCAAATAAGTCTAGAATACGGGTAGTATAGTTTAGCTTCCAAAGACTAATAATTTGTAAATAAAAGCCATCCAGTTGGGAACTGCAACGAAACAAATAACACATCTAACATTTTACTTCCAAGCTAAATCACCATTATGCAGTTGTCTTGGTTGTCTCATTCACCCAAATACTACAAACAAAATCATGTCCTGGGAAGGAAACAGTAAACTGACTCCGTTACAATTTTAGTTTAGATTTTGGGTGGAACTGCTAGGACCTAAAATCAACCTGTTCAGCTGTAGGAAACAGTGCAAATTCAAAATATTTGTTACACGACAGTAATTCTCTTCCTCAACTAAGCAGGCCAGAAGACAACAGTCACTGTTGCAGGAAGGCACTGCTTATTCGTATCGGCCACGCAATCTCTCTTACCTCTGCAGCTGTCTCAAGGCAACCTAGCAAAAGGCAGACAGAAACTCCATCACCCCAAGCAGTTTCATTCACATCATTATTATGCTTGTTTTGGGCTTGAAAGGAATGCAAGTGTGAAAGGAGGCAATGTGCCAATTTTCTTTTTCCTCCTAGGTAGAAACTGATTTGTTATTATAGCTGCAATATCAATTCCAGAGCGTAGATTTCTTTATACATGCTGTAGAGAGTTTCTGATTTAGAGGTAAAATGACACAGCATGTCCAGTGGAGAGGGACAGATAGGGAAAGCAAAGAATCGTTCACCCTCAGAAGTACCTGAATGCTTCATTCAGCTCTTCAGACCACACAGACAATGCACTTTTTTATTAAACACTTCTGCAAAAGACAGCTTTTTCTACATCAAGAGGCAGATGAGTATCCTGGCCAAAACAGAATGATGGATGCAGTTATCCCACCATACTGTCACAACAGCAGTATCATGAAACAATGGAGCAAAGAAAAACCTCTCCAGAGCAGCACCCTCTCTTCTGAGGACTGTTCACTTATCCTCTCACACACCAGCCATGATGCATATGAAAAATATTAAAGTGATTGCAGTTATATAGCAGATATTGGTCCAGTTAGACAAGAACATGAGAAAAATAAGAAAAAATGCATTTTAGCAGTTTCTAGAAACAAATACAAAGGCTCAAAATATAAATAATGTCAAACAACCCCACAACATTCCCTCTGGGAGAAATTTATTTAATATACAGGAAAATGGGTAAACAGATTAGTAGCAAAGCAATTCTTCCAATAACTGATCTGGGTCACTGCCTCCAAATGGAGCTTGTGCATAACGTCCCTAAGGTTAGAGGTATTCAGAACACTGAGCTGTCATCTGCACTCTGTTAAAGCACATAAATTTAGTGGACGGTTATATCTTGCTATAAGACTTGAAAATGCTGGGTTCAATCAGTACTTGTGTACGAGAGGTCATTTTGCGCAGAACTTACTTATCTGAGCTGCACAAGAGCATTTCTAGATGGAAATCTGCTTTAAATTTGCCTTGGAGTATGCTTGTATATGAAATACTGAAAATGCTGCACATTTAAAAGATGGGTGGCATATCTTTCTCTGTACTGAATCTTTTCTACTGTCCCCACATCTATTTACCTGGTTCATCTCTTGAAGTCAGGTGTTATCAGGTGTTATACAGACACCATCTTTGTCAAAGGGTGTTTTACCAGAAAAACTAAATGATAATGAAACCCATGTGTTTAAGGAAAAAATGCATCCCGGACAGAACAGTCCAATAAGTGAAGTCCAAAGTAACATTCTTTGCCATCTCTTTGGTATATTAAAGACTTTGTGATGATAAATTCACAAAGGTGGCAAAAAAGGGCCAGAGCAATCAGCAAAATGTCCTTACTGTCATCCCATCACATACCAACTAAATACTCATTTATTTCAGGAACGCTAGTGATAAGATAAAGGGTACAAAAATGTTAAAACATGGCAGCTTGCAATTGCTCTATTTAAAGAGTCTTTTTCTAGGATTCCAGAATTCTTATTTTTTGAAAAGCCTTTTAAATTTTCTTTTTTTTAAAGTAAAGTGCAAAAGTCAGATTCCAGATAGCAGCCTTTAAGAGACATGTCTCTGCAATTTTTCTGTATTAAAATTTTGTATTATTGGGTGTGCATTTAACGTGCGTAATAATTGTTGGAATGAAATGGGAAAAACAAAGCAAGAGTTTAATAAAGGCCTGGCCTGCTATATAAATCCAGAAACAACTAAAAGTTTTCCTGCAATCTTCCAAGACTACCTTACTGGAAAAAAAAAAAAAAAAAGAAAAAAGAGATGCACAATCGTTCCTGCACATCCCACCTGGAGCAGACTGTGGGCGTGTACAATTCATGCACAGCAGCAGACTTAGCACTTCAGGGATGGGGTGATCCTTACAGAGCAGAGACAATGAATCAGGACCTACTGCTTGTGTGCAGTAAGTGCAACCACTTGGGACGGGATGATATTTACTATCCATATCACCTCTCTGACAGGAATAGTGCTGAGACACTTGCCCACCACCAGTCACCTTGATCAGAAAGACATGGCTAGCAAAATATTGGTATTTTGGGTGCGCATTCTGGAAGCGCTACTTAGTAATCCCCCATTTCTTCATCCTCACTGCAATGCAGAAATGCAGTTTATCGTATGTGAAAAGAGCGCTGGTCCTACTCCACTGTCAACATGTCTTTTTTTCTCCCATAGCGAGAACTTGTGCTGGAAATGACATTGTTCCCCAGTGAGGCTACACAAAAGCTAGGCAATAGAGCACGAAACACAGAAGCTGGCATATGAAGAAAGGTGCTGATAGCTGAAGGAAGAGCAGTGAGAAGCTCTAGGAACTTCCTTTGCCACCACCAAGCACTTGGGGAAAGGTCGTACAATGGAGCTCAGGTTCTGCTGAGCTCTTTCATGGAGTCAGCCTCAAAACTGACAGAGGTTTTCAAGAGGCCATGGAAAGAGGACTTGTGCTCCAATCCTGACTTCCAGCATGTCAGTCAATGTAGCAGAAACATCCTGACTCCTTCAAGGTACTACAGAGAAAAAAAATTTGACCCTTGCACAGAGACTTCTTCTAGAAAACAAAATATAATGGTAAAGCTAATAAATATATTTAATCCATGTAGTCTCTGAAATTACCTGCTATTTTTGGAAGCACAGTAGGTTCCATATTTAGCAGAAGGATTCACCCTCTAACAGTGTCTTTATCATAATACATGAAAGCACCTCAATTTCCCAGCCAAAACACTGGAAACAAGGAAATTAAGAGAGAAAACTTGCGTGGTCAATAAACAAATGACACAACCACCAACACCAAAGCAGGGAAGATTCAATTTTGTGTGTGTTAAAAACTATGTGCAATGCTTTTATAGCTGGAGAACACTCCGAGTAACTTAGCAATATTATGCAGGCAAACCCTGGGGCTCAGAGCAGCAGATGAAGAGAAACAAGTTTTATTGTACCAGAGGGTGAAATGGAGACCGTGACAGTGTTTAGACTGCAGACAATAATGTAACGTACATTATTCCTGGCTCTTGTTTAAAACCAAGATTCAGGTTGATCGTCCAGCCTCAGCAGTCAGAGTGCTTGAAGAATCCCCAGGATTTTCCTGTTACATATATTTGTTTTGCTTGGTTAAAAAGACACACAATGAAAATCATGATTCTCCCTCTCTTTCAAATATATATGGACCCAGCCAGGTTTTTCTGTTGAAGGCAAAAGCTGATTCACTACAACCCCCAAGGAAAAAGCTTAAGATCTACAAACTTATCAGCTGGTTTTATAGCAAATTTCATTCCTTTGAAGGTTAATTCAGTTATTCTGTCTCATCAGGAGTCATCTCACTAAGCTGGGCATGTTTGTAGATGTGAATTTCATGAATCACATAACTTAAAAGCAAGCACAGAAATAAGGGCAGGCTAGAACCATAGCCAGGGGTAAATACACAACATGTATTGACTAGGGTAGATGTAAAGAATCTAGATGTAAGCCCTCCAGCACAGACCTCACCAGTAATTCCTCCTTCCATAGATGAAATTCATAGATGAATTAAGGGATTGGTGGGCTGCTACTTCCTAGAGGAGGTCTTTGACCCTGACTGTGTGGCACTTCCCTGTCAGAGCAGAGCATCCTCTCCTCAACTTCACATACCATCACCCAGGCACAACAAAATGGGCTACAAGTCACTGGCACTTGGCAGACGAAGACATCACATGCAAGTCCATGGTAAAAGTTTTACAAATATCTGAAGGATTCTCTCAAACTGCAAAGTTTAAGAGGTAACCAGTGACTCTCCTACTTAATGCTTTTTGTACACCTGGTAACACACCAACTGCTGTGGATAGTGGCTTGTCAACCACACATGAAATGTCCTTGCTGTTATCTAACGCATGTGAGGGAATGAGAAACACTAAGGAGACACATTTTTTTGGGTGTAATATTTCTAGT